GACAACAAATTGTTCAAATACTCGACTAAAATTAGAATCAAAATCTATATATATACACCACTACTCGATCTGCTATTCAATAAACTTAAAACATCCACTAAACAGCAAGTACGTGATTGTGATCGTGTGATGGAATGACATGTACAGTGATAACAGATGATAAGATGTAAGTGATAACAGATTATAAGGTAAAAGATACAATACATGTGAGATGGTGTATACACAATGTGAGTGAAAATATAGTGAGTGGTTACTGATTGTGAGCGAGATGTGAAAAAAACATTAAAACTTACTACTGCTAGAAAACTGAAACTGTATGCAATAAAAAGGGAATGAAACTAAAATATCTAAAATTCTTCAGTACTAGCTATGATAAAACGTTTAATAGTATCCAGTTCTTCTCTCTTGTTAATTGTAGGGTTCAAATTAATAATAAACATCGCTTCGAAAATCTTTCTTCTGACAGTATTGGGCTCAATTCTTAAAATATCTCCTTCTAAACTGGGATTTAACCCCTCATGACAGCTCGAATAATGTATGGCAAAAGCTTGACTAACATTAGAAGGGGTAGCAGGGTAGGTAGCGTAACGTAAGTGTTCTCCTACACGAGCATGTACTTTCCTACTGGTTTCTCCAACGTACAGCTGGTCACATAATTTACACTTAATCTTATTTAATATCTAATAGAGTTATAGATCTTCAAAATAGAGGCAACTGGCAAGACATGTTTACTTTGCCACATCAGTTATTATAAGAGTTAGGTAATCGTCATCAGATTAACAGATCTTTTTTTCGTAGTTTGGATCGATTAATATAGGCAATTAAGCATCATATGTCAATTTTAACACACTATAGCTATCTTGATATTGTTGGGGCAGGGAAAGTTAATTTTGTCAAATTTTTAGTGACTTTGACAAATTTAACCTAAAATTGTTAAACTTGAGCTCTGATGTTCTAGACAATATTCTACCAATCGTTTCTGAAAGAATGCTGAATTCTAATAGAGTTATAGATCTTCAAAATAGGGCAAACATGTTTACTTTGTCACATCAGTTATTATTAGACTTAGGTAATCGTCATCAGATTAACAGATCTTTTTCGTAGTTTGGATTGATTTATATAGGCAATAAAGCAGCCTATGCTAATTTTTACACACTATCTTGAAATTGTTGGGGCAGGAAAAGTTAATTTTGTCACATTTTTAGTGACTTTGACAAATTTAACCTAAAATTGTTAAACTTGAGCTCTGATGTTCTGGACAATATTCTACCGATTTTTTTCTGGAAGAATGTTGAATTCTAATAGAGTCATAGAATATATAGATCTTCAAAATAGGGGCAAGACATGTTTACTTTGTCACATCGCATCAGTTATTATAAGAGTTATTATAAGAGACTATTTCATTCTATAATCATTGTTTTTAACCTATTTACGATTTTGTATCATTTTTTGTGACAATGTAAACATCAATTGATCTTAACTTGCATCAACTACATTGTCATCATATGATAAATTTTTCCCGCCTTTCAAACCAAAATCAGATATAAATAATTCGCCAAAAATTTAAAATTCCATATATTTTGACAGAATTAACCTCATTTCCCAATAACCAAGTGCCTGTATTAGCTAACTATTCGAAACAAAATATTTTAGGGCTATGATTGGTAGATCAACCATCAAATAACGAGTTAAAAGGTTTTTGAGGACACCTCACAGTAGAATAGAGGTATGGTATTCTGAGTGTGACAAAGTTACCCAAATATTGCCTTGTAACCGTTCGATGTAAATGAGCTTTTGTCATCATTAAAGTCTTATATGAGAGCGAATAAGTTACATATAAACATGTCCAAGTGCTGCTACATACACTTCAAACCCACCATGGCAGGTTCTAAGTTAGAGACTTTATCACACCCTGAAGTTGTATTAACTATAGACAACTTTCCAATCAAAAAGGTTTCATCCGCAAAATTTCTGGGTGTTATAATTGACGAGAACCTATCATGGGAAGATCACATTAAAGCTCTTAAGCGAACTCTAAATCATTCCACATCCACTTTATGTAGACTTCGCTGCTCCCTTCCAGAATTTCTACACCAACAATTATATTATACCCTGTTCGAATCACATCTTTCCTACTGTATATCTGTATGGGGTGGGGCAGCGAAACAACGTATAAGCTCATTATTTACTGCTCAGAAGTACTGTCTCAGAGTACTATTTGGTGACAGGCTGGCATACCTTGATAAGTTTAAGACTTGTGCACGTACTAGGCCTATAGGACACCAGAAACTTGACCAAAAAGTTTTCATAAAAGAGCACACCAAACCGATATTTAAGCATAATAATATTCTAGCTATACAAAATCTCTATACATACCACAGTTACCTCGAGCTCTATAAGATAATGAAATTCCGGGCTCCAATATCCTTACATGAGGGTTACACATGTTCCTCGAGGAAACCCTGCCTTCTAATCTGTCAGGCAGACCCACCTGACAATCACAATACTAGATCAACCAAAATTTTTAACATTTAACCCCAAAATTCAGAATGACTGACTTTACTACTAATGTAATGTGCTTGCGAGGTAAGCTAAAACGTGCGCTATTAACGAATCAACATAATCACGCCCTGCTTGATTGGACTGTCAAAGATTTTGACTGCGCAAATCTTATTTCCCAAACATTATAACTGGCTGGTCACACACATCTCAATTAAAATTACCCTAGGCTACTGTTTTCCAAGTCTTGTCCTGTGAGTAAAGTATGTGTGAGGTGTGAGAAAGTTTTAATAAAATTATTGTATATTTACTTTTGAATTTTTAAAATCTAATTTGAGAATGAAGTTTAAAGAAATCTTAATTAGCACTGTATAGTTTAAGATATTTATAGCTTATTATAACCATTGATACAAAGGCCATAATCTTTCGCCAGCTCTCCAATATCCACCTTGAAAGCTTGAAGCTGCATGTTATATCCTTGAACTACACAATATAAACTAAAGAATGTTTTAGTGTAGACTTTTTGTCACAACAAGACTGTAACCTATAATAACAACTATAAAAGTATAAACAGAACCCCTAATGTCTGCTTACAATTTTTCTTCTAGTCCTAATCTGAGCCTTGTCTCTATAAACTTAACTGAACTAGCGTTTCGGTGTGTGCAAAAGCTTCCAGGCACGCGCATTCCTTGCCCCGTTAGTTACCTGTCCTTCCAAAACCAAACTAGCAGTCAAGGACAAAAAGTCATACACCAATTATGAATTGTTTTACATCTTTTTATTCTGTAAAAATGTGCTAAAATTAAATTTCTTGTTTCATTGAATTTCTTGTTTCATTGATCCGTGCCCTTTAACCAATGTTGTATCATAATTGTTAGATTGACCTAATCTACTATATTTCAGACCAAGGAATGATAGTTAGACAACTGCAGTTAACTAAGTCACACAAAATGTGACATTTGAACCATTATAGTGCCTAACAACAATAGATTTTCTATCTGAGCAGTGCATATGGGAGTATGGGTTACGTGGCTATAATGTTCAGAACTTCTGAACGTGCTAGGTTAATATATGTCAAAATTAAGCCACTATCGTCGAAAACGCTATCATTTTTGTTTACCAATATCCTCAAACTCAAATGAACGTGTCCATATACATTGTTTGTAGTATATTATTTGTAATTGTAGCGAGTTATCGGATGTTTTATCTTTGAGCGAGGCTATCTTTATAGGAGTAGTCAAGAAGCTTGAGTTTTGGTGCTATGACGTGCTCCAGATTTTAGAAGATCTAAATATAAAATCTTTTAATATAATGGGAATTGAGCAGTGAGATTGGTTTCCTTTCTACATGATAACTCATATTGCTGGTGCAGTGATGTTAGGCATCTGAGTTTGGGTATTTTAAGGAGCACTCTCTTTGGGAGACCACTGTCCAATTATGCTTTCAAATGATATTAGGTTAAAACAAGCTGCGGGGAAGGTTTTGATAGTCAGCTTAAATAAATTGCGACTACATAAAATCACTGAGACAAGAACAACCATAAATAAGGAATGACAACAAATAATTTGAGTGTTCACTAACATTTACATTATTTATATTGCTGTCAATCGATATTATTACGTAAGCCACCTAATTTTACATACCAGCAAATTCATGGAAAAAACGACACTTCAAACCTCAAAAATATGATTAACAATCGAAACCAGAAACAGCTGCTTATAATGAAGTTGCACTGCTGAAAGATGTATGAAACAGCGATAGTGAAAAATCGTGATTGATAGAAGCTGGAGTAGAGTTGAATGGTGAAGGTTTTCTAAGTGTACGTATATGTACCTTGTTTTTGATGAAGCTTTAGTGGGACACGAATGGATGGAGACATCCTGATCCGGTAGATTTCCACAAAATGGTCAACCCAACAAAGACTCGGCAGTAAACCTGAAATTGTTAACGAAAGCACAAATTGACCATTGGCGATGAACTTTAAGTTTTAATCACTCGAAATTAACATGCTATACCTTTGATCATGAATCACAGACTTTTAATCGAGTAAATAGTGTAGTCAAATATGAAGTATAGAATAACTGAATAAGGTGTTATTAAGGCTAGACGTTAACTAAGCTTGAAGCAAACTACTGAGGGTATAGAACCAGCGCAGCACTCCTGACAAAACCAATTTTGCAATTTATCCAATGCGAAAATACGTATTAACAGTTAAATGAAAAAAGTTTGGGCGAGCGATTTAGTGAGCGCGAAAAGAATATGCAGCAGCATTTCTTGTTATATATTACTATTGGGGTTGTAAGACTTTGGATCATGGGTGATAAGATACTTTTAATTAAGAATATACGGAATATACCTATTTCTTTAACTAGTAATCTAATTTCTTTAATACTTTTTATCCACACTAATTATATTTATAGCTCATAACTGAATCACTATCAGTTTGATTGTCGACGCGATTTCAATACTTCAATATTTTTGTAAGAAATGATATAATGTGATTATCAAACTTTGAAAATTTACTAAAATGTAAGCATGTATAAAACGTACAAAATATTTTATGACACAATTATCGAAAATTCTCATTTCATCCTCAATTTAAACATTAATTTAACCTATACACCACCTCAGAGTGACACAAAAGTAAAATTATATTCACATATTATTTCATGTCAACTTAAAGTTGATACAAATCTTACTATATAATAAACTGTATTCACTGAAGCTTATTATTGTCTAATATGTAATAATTTTCTATAATAATAACACTAAGAACTTCTAATTTGAGATTTTGAGGAGTTACCGCTATTTTTAATTTAACTACAGGATTGTCAAATATGCGCTACGATTCTTTAAAATATGTATTTAGATTAACAGCAATAAATACTAAGTTTAAAACTTATAATATTAATATTACTCGATTGAGTTATAAATTGTTATCGCACTGTAAGAAAAAACATGGGCTAATTCATGGGAATTTATTTTAAGTTGTGAGGCACTGCCCAAAAACACCCCTGATACTCCAATAGAAATCATGTTGATCATGTCCTGTCCACTCATGAATCCAAGAAATGTTTCTTAGAATGTATTGGTCGAAAAAACCTTCATTAATTTAGATTCATGAGGCAACCACAATTAGCATTATTCGCCGGGTATGAAAAGCAGGAGCCTAATTCATAATTAATTTTGACCGTTAAATTTCCTTTTTTTTGTTTTTTTGTTGTCAGGGGCCGTTTTTCGTGCAAGCCTCACGTGTTTTAATCTTAAGTCATGAAATAATGATTTTCCGCAGGTTCTAAAAAAACTTAATAAATATTAGTATTACTTAATCAGAACTGCATACACAGATAAAGTTTTCGAGACCTGTGCCCATATTCAGTATTCACACCAACTTAAGTAATTATCATGTGATTAACAATCAACTGGATCAATTAACAGTTTGTAATGTAATAACAGCGTGTAATTAACGTGTTACTACAGGTGCTTATCATTTAGAGGTGGAATTAGGGTCCTGGCCATCTTTGGGCAGGTACATATCAAATTCGTTAACATCAATGTCCTTGATATCATTAAGAGAGGACAGTGCGTCTATAACAAGCTTGCTCTGGTCGTGTGGGGACGCGTTCTGTTGCTGTGCGCTCATGACGTCACGTGGAGAGGAGGTCACGTGGGAGACACGTGGTGTGATCTCCGGAGCTCGTGTCACGACGGGGGAGAGCTGCGGAGGACGAGAGGTGGTGGAGACTGGGGTGGAGACCACGGTGCAGGGGGCTGGGGAGGCGGTGGTTTTCAGGGTGAAGGAAGGGGACGTTACTGCTGACTGCTGAAATTATTTGCAGGGTTAAGAGACCAGCCATATTTATGGAGTTGTTATCAGAAGGGAACTGTAACAGAAAGTTACACTTAATACACGTGGTAATTTGAACTGTAACAGGTGTTACTATCCTTACCTGTACAGGACCCCCTGGGTAGAAGGACTTATGTTCCACTTTAACAAGGGGAGGCTGCTCGTAGGGAGATCTGCAGGGGTAAGAGAGATAGCTAGCTCCTCTGGGGAACAAACAACTGCTGCTACTGATCGGTGGGGCTGGTAAGTGGGATCTAAATACCGGGTCGTTCGGTCTCATGTACCTGGGACAAGAAGGAGGTTACAATGGCAAATATAGATTGTGCTTTTAATATTAATTCTAATATTGTACACTGTTGCTATATCTGTGAATGACAAGAAATGAAGAGTTATTTAAATAAAGGTTGATCTCTGAACTAACCCGGCGAGTATAGAAGGAGAAGAGTAGACAGAAGCTTCAGAAGCTAAGAATATTCTGGAACTGGGGAGTTCTGTGCAGGAACTGAGGGAAGGGCCCTTAGAGGAAACAGAGTGTTAGCTTGTTGTAACACACTATTAACTTAGCAAAAATAATTTAAATAGCTCTTACAGTTACAGTTGTGACTTGCGAACTCTATCCAAAAATTGAAAATATCAGCAAAAGAAGCCTACATTCTACAAGCAGCTCACCTCAGAAGAGACGGGGTTGTTAGGGAAGGAACTGACCGGGCCACGGTACCGGAACTGACAGGGCTGTCGGGAACTTCCGACCTCACTTCCGGGAATGGTACTGTCCGGGGACATGCACGCGTTCTAGAGGAGCAGGATATGTTAATATGATGTTTAGTAGGATAGTTTCAATGTGAATTATTGGACTGTAAATAGAGAAAAGAAGGGGTGATACTAGCTTTTAGGTTATAAAGACAATTATACATTCTACCGTTATGTAACCTATTACTTGCAACTACTAGATAAGATAAGACACTAGATAAGAAGCTAAGTTCCAGGCACCTGTTGTGAGATAAGAAGCCTTGTATTAGCAGTAAAGTCGTGGTCCGGGTTAAGTAGAGCTCTCTTAGCTAACGTCTCTATTTCGTGGGGGAGTCTCTCTGTTGGTCTCTTCAGGTGCTTCCTCTTTTTAGGACGGTACTTGTACTCTGGGTGTTGCTTCTTGTGGATCATCCTCAGTCGCTCCGACTCCTGGTCGTGTTCGTTTATTAGTCACAGGATGAATAAAAGCTAAAATTTATTAGGTTTCTAAGAAGTGTTTGTCAGAAGTGGTTTATTAGGTTTCTAGCTGCCGTTACTTATTATGAACGACCACAAACCACTTAAGACTGACTGTGAAATTAAATGATTAAGACAGTTTACTTGTGGTAAAACAGATAATAGTTAATAAAGAATGTCATTGAATAAGAAGGAACCCAACATTCCTCATAAGAATTTGTCAGCTCACCTTGATGTAGGGGTGCTTGTCAGTCTCACTCAGCATTCTCCACAGCTTCCCGAGTGTTTTACTAAGCTCGGCGTTGTGGAGGTCAGGGTACTGATCTGCCAGCTTCCTTCGTGCACTCTGTGCCCACACCTGTGCAATGGCTTGTTAATCGGGTAATTAGTTTATTGGATAATTAGGTTAATTGGGTTAATTATTTTATCGGATAATTGGGTTAATTGGGTTAATTAGTTAATTGGGTTAATTAGTTAATTGGGTAATGAGTGAGTTGGATATCAGGCTAATGGTGTTTTTAAGACGTAAAGATCGCGTGAACTAAATATATGATGCAGTAGGAAGAGTAAAATGTTACAGTCTTGTTAATGTTACCAGGACGACATGAGGCCCCGTCTAAAGTGACAATCTGACAACATTACTGAGCACTGACAAGATTTACACACCTCTGACAATAAGGCAGAATAAATTAATGATTTCTCTCGGAATATGGTGACATTTTCCCGTAGACACAAGTAACTGATCGATTATAGACGGTGAGGAAGGGAGGTGGAGAGAATGAAACTAAAAAAACCGGACCTATTCTACTCCAGACAAATCGGAATTTAACCGGGAATAAATTGGCTCAATTTCAGATGTTCGACGGAATGATACTGTCACTGGATAATTCCGGTTCTAATTTATTTCTGGATTATTTCTAATGGAGTTCAGATATTCATTTCAGAGAAGGAGAATGGGGGGAAGAGTGCTGCAGGACATGATAGTGCTATGATGGTGGCTCGATCACAACATCAGATTTCAGGAACATGTCAGACTCGTCCCATTCCGCCAGACAACAAGACAAATCAAACTTTAGAAAGATAGGGAGAGAAAGGGAGAAAGGGGGACATTTAAAATGTTTTGTACGAGTGTAAAAATGTTACTAAACCTGTGGTTGGAAAACATTGCTACCAACTAAAAAGCAAAGCCAATGAAATATGACGTCATAGCACGTGAAATCACGTGATATAGAACAGTGGTTGAGAAACACGTGATGTTGATTGGGAGCACGTGTCAAGTGACAACTTCACCCGCGCTCGTGTCTGAACCGACAATGTACTCACCCAGTTTATACTAGATCTCTGATACAATCCTCGAACTACACGCCTTCAGAGGTATTAACAATGGGAAACCAGGTCTCAATGTTTCTAAACTACAGCGGACACTCCCCCGCACTCAGTTATTAAACGTTACAGCATGCACAACTCATCCCGACCAGCATCGGTCATGTCTGGTAGTTTTTAAAATTAATTTCAAGATCTAACTCAAGTTGAATCATTGAGTGATAAACTGAAGGGTCGCAGGCTCTCAACTCCTTTTCTTCTGCAGCTGTGGTTTATTCAGTGATCTACATATCGTGTTTGTTAATATTTAGTGTGATGACCAACAGGATCTTTTCAAAGTTATTTTGAGGATTTTTACAGCCAATTCTTTCTCGTCTGTGATATAGATGTCCGGTGTTCAGTTTATTTAAACTTGGTAAATTGTAAACTTGATAATTTGTAACCTTTAAATCATGTTAATTGCCCCAAACTGATTAATCAAATACTCGACATAGTTTTACTGTTTCTATTCAAACTGTTTCCAACGTCGCATGCATAACAACCTAACAGAGTCTTCAAATTTCAAATAAAATAATTCCTAAGCTCTCTCCAGAACAGACTTGTTCAGAGCACGTGATAATATTAATTTTAGTTCTAAAAGAGTTGAGGTGCAGTTAGTTCACACCATCTTCTCCACCTATCTGACAAGTAAAAGAGGAGTATGATATGCAGTGCACGCGTGCCAACCTTCACAGTACATGACACTTGCTCCTTCATAAACCAAGTAGACGTGTCAGTGTCAGTTGACATGTAACATGATGATCATGGTAAGCAGGAGCGAGCTCGGCACGCGCTTGTAATCCCGCTCAACATTTGCGTCTACATTTACAGATTATTTCACAAATATCTGTCTATATTAAGATATTGAAGTTGGAAGAGGTGGGCGGGGGTCATTATTCCTCGTTAAAATATGTACCCCCACGGTGTTGAAAGTGTTATTACTATAACACTGTATAATATATCCCAGTAACATATCAGTACTACTACGAGTAACTGTGGGATCAGACTGACAGTGTCTGGAGCTCAACATGAAGTACTATGAACTGTACAAACATCTGACAATAGCAGGTAACTGACAGTAGAGTGGTACGGGAAAAAGAAAGAGAAACCAGAGAGAGAGAAAGAGAAACAACAGAGATAAACGTTGGGTGACTGGTAGGTACTGGTGTCTTGCAAGTGTCTGGCACTTGGTCAATGACTCCATCTTGTGATCCTGGCAGTGCCAGTGAATATAAAAACGTCTACAAGACAGGGAGTATGCTTGTAACAAAAGAAGCAAGGACTTCTAAGTTCTATTGTTTATAAGTCAACAGTCAACTTCAAACTTGCTAAACACAAGGAACCATCCTCCAATAACCCACCAGTCTCCCGCTCTCTCCCACCGTGCACCACCTCCCACCGTGCACCACCTCCCGCTCTCTCCCACCGTGCACCACCTCCCTCCCACTATCCCCCCACCGTGCACCACCTCCCTCCCACTATCCCCCCACCGTGCACCACCTCCCTCCCACTATCCCCCCACCGTGCACCACCTCCCTCCCACTATCCCCCCACCGTGCACCACCTCCCTCCCCCAGCCCCCCACCGTGCACCACCTCCCTCCCACTATCCCCCCACCGTGCACCACCTCCCTCCCACTATCCCCCCACCGTGCACCACCTCCCTCCCACTATCCCTCCCACCGTGCACCACCTCCCTCCCACTATCCCCCCACCGTGCACCACCTCCCTCCCACTATCCCCCCACCGTGCACCACCTCCCTCCCACTATCCCCCCACCGTGCACCACCTCCCTCCCACTATCCCTCCCACCGTGCACCACCTCCCTCCCCCATCCCCCACCGTGCACCACCTCCCTCCCACTATCCCCCCACCGTGCACCACCTCCCTCCCCCATCCCCAACCGTGCACCACCTCCCTCCCACTATCCCCCCACCGTGCACCACCTCCCTCCCACTATCCCCCCACCGTGCACCACCTCCCTCCCACTATCCCTCCACCGTGCACCACCTCCCTCCCACTATCCCCCCACCGTGCACCACCTCCCTCCCACAATCCCCCCACCGTGCACCACCTCCCTCCCACTATCCCCCCACCGTGCACCACCTCCCACTATCCCCCCACCGTGCACCACCTCCCTCCCACTATCCCCCCACCGTGCACCACCTCCCTCCCACTATCCCCCCACCGTGCACCACCTCCCTCCCACTATCCCCCCACCGTGCACCACCTCCCTCCCACTATCCCTCCACCGTGCACCACCTCCCTCCCACTATCCCCCTATCCCTCCCACCGTGCACCACCTCCCTCCCACTATCCCCCCACCGTGCACCACCTCCCTCCCACTATCCCCCCACCGTGCACCACCTCCCTCCCACTATCCCCCCACCGTGCACCACCTCCCTCCCACTATCCTACCTACCAGCTCTTTAATAAGCACAGTATCTCCACAATAACGCCCTTACCAGTTGAGTATCAGTAGAAAAGTGAAAGCGGGGGAGGACTTCTCCTCCGTCTCTCTGTAACAAAGTGCCGACTATAATCAGACACGGTGACAGTGTATTCGTGTATAGTCAGGGGTGTGTCGTGTATAGTCAGCCGGGAGTACTCCTCCCCCTCCCCCACCTCCTCCTCCTCCTCCCCTCCCCCGCACTGTATAACGTGTAAAGTCGCCTCCCTCCCCCGCTGTCTGCCTGACAAGCAGTACATCATGTGTGGCACTCTGCTCCTCAGGTGTGAAGTTAGCTGGATCTCGCTGTTATTATCTATTATTATCTATACAGGTGATCAGTACAATGTCAGGGACCAGCCCTGAAGTACAATGTGTGGGACCAGCCCTGTGAAGGTGTGTTGCTCTATACAACACTCTGTATTGTTGGAGACCGCGGAAAAGGGGCCGATATTAGATGGTAACGTAATACTGGCGAGGGCTCAACATGCGTGGGAAGTGTGATAGCTCAGTAACATGTGGGGAGTATAGCTGTAAGAAGCAGTTTTGATTGTTGTGATCGAGGGAACGTGCTCGAAAGGTGATATCATTTTACCACATTATTTTCATCTCAGATTCTTGGAAACGGTTTCAAAGCATGGCATCTAAATCCCAACGGATTCTAGTCAAAATTGTAATAAACAATATTTAATCCTACTCTAAAAACTCTTGCAATTATAAAATAACACGAAATTTAGCAAGAATACACACATCTAGAGCCAAGAGATTCAACTGTATAACCAACATTCTCTCCACGATACCAATGTTTTACTCCCAAGATGTTGAGACTATTCCCAGTCCTACAACCCTCCTCCTCCACTCTATTTCCTCCTCAACATCACTAGGTTACTAGTGACTAGTTGTCCAGCACAACACTAGTCCCAGTATTCCAGAACTACCAGTCTAGTACCGCCACCAGATCCCTGCCCTAACGTCTCAATTACACTTCTAATCTAATGATACCCTGGTCATTGACTGGACAGGACCTCCTGTCTTTACTAACAAAGGAAGTGTTTCAAATCAGGACTACTTAACAAGCTCTTATCCGGGGAAATAAACGCACTAAATGTAGGTGCTGACTGCAAAAGTAGCTGTAGAGATACAGATCTCCTGAAGCAGCAGTAAGTAGTGAGATCTTTACTCACCTCCCTCCCTCTCTTCTAGCCAGTCTGAGATTATAACGAGGTAGTCTGAGTAGAGATTAGATTAGAAGGGGGGAGAGGAGCAAGTTTCCCGGTAGCTCCATCCCGTCTGGAAGCGAGCTGAAGTTCACTGCTCACTGTAGCCAGACAACACCCCTGCTTCACCCTACAGAACCCTTACATCACTACCAACCAGTGGCGGGACACTCTCCCCTCGTTCCAGCTCTCTCTCTCTCTCTATAAGTCTGTGGTAGCTAAATATCAGCTCTAGTCTGGATTATAAACTGAACCTAGGGCGGATTAGTAATAGGGCGGAACTGAACTTAGCAGGCTACGTTGTACGACCTAAACCGTTCACACTACTTTATTTGAGGAGTTAAAAGAGGGCTATCTCTTTGTGAAGACTACTCTTTTGATCTGATAATACTAAGTACAAGTGATGATCTAGCCAGATAGATAGACCTGTGTGGCCCCGGAGTTATGCATATGGGACTTTAGTTTATGAGACTTCAAGTTATGGGACTTTAAGACGAGCTCACTGCTCACTGCTCGCCAGAATGAGCAGTGATGAATTAACCTTGTACAGTGACCAGTAAGGTGAAGAAGTGACTAGCGAGATAATATAAGAACGTCATGTCTCAGGAGGGTTTTAAGACTAATAGATCCTGCTGATCTGTGACCTTCACCCCCCAGAGGAATGCAAAGTGACAGCTAACTCCGATCCTTTGCCTGCAGACGATAATGTAATTGCCAGCAAATCTGTCAAAACATTTATCAGCCGGTCTAAACTGAAAATGTTTGCAAAACTCTGCGGATTAACCACACGTGTCAGCTGCCAGCCTATCAGAAACCAGGAGACCGTCCAAACAACCAATCACAAACCAGCTAGAAGTTCAGGTAACCAACGTCTCTCACTTAGTAGTGGGGCTCTTCTCCAAACAACGTCTTTCCGGTTCGAACACTTCCATTTAGTTTGGCAAATATGCACAGCATTTCGTCACAAACTGAAATATAGCCGGAATCCAGGGAGCCAGCCTAGCTTATTTCATGCCAACTACCGGCCTTCAGACCTATCGCTAAAAATAGACCCTCAAATATCCTAAATATAAGTATAACATTTTGCCGAATCTGCGCGGAGAGTTTTTACATATTCCCATTGCAATCTGAAGTATCTGTCAATTTCGAAACTGAATCTATTTCGCTTATCGAATAAGACAAACCTCTAATTGAAATAGTAGAACCTGTTTTAGTACTTATAACTCCAGTACTTAGTAATAGTACATCTCCCCGCACAAATCAGCAAGTTTACACCAATCCTGATGAGAACAGCTAGAGTCTGTACCAGGCAGCTATAAGAACGGGGTCGACCTTGCTTTTCCCACCAGACTATATATTGTAACGGAAACTGATGTTTATCAGAACACTTGGCTACAATTTGGGAGTTAATGGTTTGTTTTTCTAAGCTAACTGGATCTAATAAGAGTGCTGTGTCAACTCTCTGTGTTTATTCAGCTAACTCTTCACATCTAGAGCTACTGGTGAGAGGTATGAAAATACACGCCTCGCCCATCCTGGAGTACCAGCAATAACTATCAGCTATAAACTATCAACTGCTAATCACAATAAATATAATTAGAGATTTTATGGCGAAAAATCTGGAAAATTCGCGTTTTGTGAGCAGAACGGCTGTAAAATTTTCGCGTTTTGTGAGATCACAAAAAAACTTTGGCGATAAGTTAGTCAGTTGGCGGAATGCAGCTTTATTTTGTAATGCCTAATAAACATGGTCACCCTATTCCCTAATATAAACGTTACGATTAGTGTATTTTTAGAGAGGGACACCGGGCAGCTGCACACAAAAGTGAAAACGTTTATTTTGACCGGAGGCAGCTGCAAGACAAGTGAAAATATTTGTTTTGACCTGACTCTCACAGTCCCCTCATCATATTAATTCACTGCTCCACTCAGCTGTATTTTTCTGCAGTCCCACATCCTAATCAGGGTCCGTCCCAATTAATTTGCCATTTATCCGGCGATGAAGTAAGATATTTGATGAAATTTGGGAAATTGGATTTTGTTGTTGCCCACTTCACCGATCGAACAGTGAACTGCCACATTTGGTAATGGGACACAGTGATCGCACAGTGGTCAGTGGTGGTTGCCATTTGATCACGAAGGAAATTCATTAACCCACTAAGTCACACGACACACGATCTCCAGAAATTCACACCAGAAGTGGTCGAACTAATCTCAATGTAGTGCAGGTATACTCCACCTGATCCAATTTTCTCCAAACTAATTAGTTTTATGAGACAGTATTATCAGAAAGTTATGCGCTTCTCTCCAGAACTGTCAGAACACCAATGTCCCGTCTTATCGCGTCACAGATAACCAATCCGTCCGTTTGATTGCGAGTTGACGGGACAAGTCAGACCTAGAGTAGGCTGGCTCGTTAAGGTCAGACCTCTCTGCAGAGCTTGTTGGGTAGTCTATCGGGGAACTAAGGACCCGTAACTACTTTATAGTAAATCAATTAACCTTTTGTTGGAATGGATGGAGACAGTTGGTTAGGCCACCACAACATAAGGGTCACATAAGCCAACCAGCTGCAGAATTCGGGACGAGAGCCAATCAGCTGCAAGTATTTGAGACGAGAGCCAATAAGAAGGCAGTATTCGGTGGGAGAAGAAAAAGAGTGTTGTTAGAACGCAGGGTCTGGAGATTAAGGTTCAGTCTAACTACTCAGATCAGATCCCCAGCTGACGGAGGTACTATAATTCAATACTGTCGCATACCCACCTACCCCTAACCCAGCAGGGAATCTCCTAGCTAGTTAGTTCCCCTTCTCTTCCTACTCCCCGGTATTGTATTTAAGCAGATGGCCGTAACTAAAGTAGACGCGTTTCGACGGAGCTCACGGTGAAACTGGTCCCGGAGTGGCTGCTGCCCACTAACGCACAGTCAGTTCCAACTATCCAGGACAGAAACACATCTAATTCTCACTAGACGAACACTAGACGTGGTGTCTCAACCAGGGCCAGGACGAATACCTTGACCACCCCAGTGCTCGCTTACTGAGTACAGAGCAATTGCAGGGGGTCTACAGACCAGTAGCATCTCGTCTAGCCCACACTCCCCCCGACAATCTGTAGTCTGATCTAATGGAGCCACTCTTCCTTTCAGTCGTTAATTGGAAAACCAATCCAGATAATGTGATCAATAGAGCTGTAGCCCTGAGCTGTAGTCCTTATCGAAATCTAATGAGAACCTCCACTATTATTCACCCCCGCTTAAAGATCTGGAGGACAAAATTACTGCATTTTATTATTCGAAACTAAATCTAACAAGGGACAATATTTCATTTGATGGCATGAGTTTGGAATAAAATCAAGAGGACTACCACGGGTTTTATACGCTCAAAATATTGAAGAATTATGATGCATAAAGTTCGAACGGAATATAAAAAGCGCCATCGTATTCACAATTTATCAACGCGAAAATTACTGCCGATTCAATTTTTAACGTCTCAAACTCTTAAAACAAAACGTACCAGTCGTTAACAAGAAGTCAGGAGGAAAAGAACTAAAACAGTAAACTTACCCAGGATCGCAGAACAAATCCCTGATATATATAAGGACAGGGCTATTTTAACCCGATCTAAAAGTGACAACAAATCCAAGATGAGGCCTGGACCAAATGATCGGAAACCCTACTTATTGATATAATAGTTGTACAGCTGAACATCTAGATGGTGGTGTGTAACTGTTCAATAATTACAGGGACAGTCTCTGTCTATTTAAAATATTCAGAACATTGCACCTTAAAACGTGAGTATAGCCACTGCGCTGGGTAACTTGGTACCTAATAGAGCCCTCCTTAGACAGGCTGAAAATCCATATAAATCTCAAATTAAAGCCCTCCAAATAAGTGCCCAGAAAACTCTGAGCGGTGAAGTAAGGAGAAAGGAGACAGGATCCCGACCAGCTAACGGTGAAATAGGTGAAACGATCGATCGGATTGCAGGATTGGGGCGAGATTTTACTCAAAAACAAGTTCAATTAAAAGTGTAGAAAGCTGATAAAGCAACAATTCTTACCATGAATGCGTTCATGGGTCGTTTTACATGAGAGATGTCCTCAGCAGGGGCTGATTTTTGAGGACTCTGGCTAGACGAAATCGCGGAGGATCTGATGAAATCGTCAGAGGTAGTGGACTCAGCGCCTCCTAGCGTGTAGGTAGGACTTGTGCTCGAGTCTGCCATCATCGAGAGAAGAGAAGTATTGTCAGGTGACGGTGATCACGAAAACAGCAGGTGAAAATAAACAGAGACTGTACAAATCAAGAATGTAGAGGCGTAGGAGCTCGGTGAAACTATAGCGCTGAGTCACGCGCTGGGTCACGTGTTACGTTACGTCACGCCGCTCTCCACCAATGAGCGAGCAGGATGAGCGTGGTGAGCAAGAGCGGACGAGACATGTAATAGCGGTCACGTGAAGGTCACGAGGGTCGTTGTGTACTCGGGTCCTCTATGAAGCGAGCATGTTAACAAACTCCGGGCCCAGGGAACAGTGAAGTGCGCTTTCCAGTTAATTGAGCCGGCCTGACCAGATCCCCCAGATAATTTTAGCACTTGTTTAGAAGTCCCACAGTCCCATCCACAACAACACTGCTAAAAAGAAGGTGGTTAAGTGGCTTCTGATTGGTCCGATGAGCTGTTTCCAGTGTTCTGATTGGTTGCAATTAGGACAACTCCGCTTGCCCTCTCGTTAAGTTTTTAAGCAACAAAATATCTCCCAGACAGTATCCGTTAGTATAGGGATGTAATAAAGAACAAATGTTCCATAGGTCCAGAATTGTTCAGAAAATATCAATATCAATGAATATGGTCAACAGTCATTCAACATGGCATGTTTCCTTCTGTTATCGAGTTACATGATATGTTTCCTATTTATCTTAATTAAAACGCAGTTCGATGTTAGAGTTCTGATTATTTGGAATCCGAAGTTTTAAAGTCCTCTGAGTCCTCTGAGTAGGAGTTTGAGTTTGAGTCCTATTCCTGCCAAAGCTGATCAGATTATCTTACGATCACGTCCTGGAAGGTAAGGTCACCGTTTAAGAATACTAGAAGATTTTGCTTAAAATTGTTCAATAGTAAGAATGAAAGGAAATCTATCGATTTCGCGAAATTGTAATTCCTAAAGTCCTTTTAAAAATGGTAAACAAATTTGCACAATTTTACTAAAGGTTAAATATAAATTAGAAAAGTACAATATGAGGATAAACTGGAGTGGTTTCCTCTGCAGAAGAGAAGTAGGACTAACCACATGTTGAGAATACCGATCTACTGCAGTGTGGGTGTACAGTGCATGCAGGCCGCTAAGGACCAGTCAGGGGTACTAGCACCATCCAATAATATCCATCTGAAAACACAACAACTTATCATATGTTAATAAAATCTCATAAATTCAATATGGAGTTTCGGGTGCATTTCCAAGAATTTATTTTTAAATTCTTAATACAATATACATTTGGTATAAAATAAGGTTAAGTTCGTGACCCTAAAATATAGTTGTTAGTCAGACATAGCCTAAACCAGCAACCTTGTCCAGACAAGGAACCAACTCAGACTTAATAGAAACAGATTGATTGCAACCTAGGTTCCGGCCTGGAGTTAATAGAAACATATTGATTTCAGGCAAATTGTGCTGACGCTGTGGGGAGGGTCCTGAGAGTGGAGAGCGTCTCTCCAAACCGAACAAATCACTCACTTTCGGAGGAATCCGACTACAAACTTAATGATCTGTTACCCTTAGTCTAAAGATGAGCATCCTAATTGCATTCTTATAGTTTATTCTGAACTTTTTCTTATTTTAGTTTCAGGATGGAAATATGTCGACAGGTCTGACAGGATGAGTTCATCTCAACTTAAATTATTTCTACTGTACAAGGTGGCTTCCAGAGTCCACCCAGACAGTTCATCTTGAAGAAAAATGAGTCCATTTTCAAAATATAATAAACAAGAAAACATAGTTTAAGAATTTGTTGCTCCAACATCACATACTAAAAACCTTAAAATAGCTATGAATTTTCAGAGAAGACTAGAGCAAATATTTCTTGATCCCGATATCATCTCCTAAAGACATGTGATATCATCTATAAAACATCGACTAATAATTCACCTCTATCACTATTTATTTATTGTATTTTTCATTTAAATACTATTTATTCAAATCTTTGTAATACTTTAATGTTTTTTCTCCACAACAATACTGTATTTATATTAAAAGTATTCGAAAAAATGAAAGCTCTATTGAAAAATACATTGTTGGAATTATCTGAGTAAACCCTATTGAATAGCTTCACATATCTGTATTTTTATCTCCATTATTTCGGTGCCAATAAGTACAATGATCAAACAAGTCGATCTAACGCTAATTCTCGCACCTGTGTTTTATCTTAAACAGCTGCCCTCCCCCGTGTTTTAGCAAGCTGCTCACCATCTCTCCCGGTCTGTATAACGCCATATACGGTCATGTCACGTGAGTTCTCTCCTTATATGGTCAGGTCACGTGAGAAGTTGCGCCTCTTGTTTGTAACAAGAGGTCAGCTGATGCTATCTTTGCTTGCCTCCGCGCTACCTGTTTCCAAATCGCTCGCTCTCGTTGGCATGGTTATCAATCTTTTGACTGACCAGTGCGATCCTTGATGCTTTAAAGCCTTCATTCTAGAACAAAATATCGTGGTTAAAATTCAGCAAGGAAAATAATAGTTCCAGATCAGATCATGATTTTTATCATGAATTCCAAATATTTCAATATCATTCCAGGAAATCAGACTAACAAAGACAAAGCATAAAGTAATCAGTAAATGAAAATGTTGAGGGGTTATACTTTAGACTTAGTACATAACATTCCATCATTCCCAGAGCTGTGTTCACAATTTAGCCATTGTATTGCCAACTCTGACCCAAATTTTCCAACAAGGTCCCCCATCTCTGGTTGTTGTTGTACGTCACAAAATACCACAACTTCCTCAAACACGGCCCCTCAAAGCTCATAATACTAGTTTTGTTACGTCACAGGATCCCACCAACATCGTCTAGCTTAGGGTACGAGTCTCTGTGTCCTACAATGACGTCCAGTCACTATCTTTAGTTCCTGCGAGCTGCACTGTTTGCAGCAGGACTTGTATTTCTACTTTCCAGACGATGAGGTCCCCCCAATACACGGGCCAAACAAACTCAATAACACGTGATGGGGAGAGGAGGAGGAGGGGTTGTCGTCTGTAAACTATTAACAACATTACACGACGTGATCTTATCTGGCTGGATATATCTCACAGCTTTATGAATCCAGCTCAGTGATTATACAAGGTGTCGGATGACTTGGTGTTTACATACTTGTAGGTGCTAATAACGTCATGGTGATGTTAGTTTGCTTTATTTTATATCAATTTTTATTAGTTTGACTGGATTTCCTAAAACTCCCTCTCGTCTGACAGTTGTGTAATGAAATACAGTGGTGAGTGGTGTGGTGAGTTCCGCTATCTGAGTATCAGTCATTACAAAGTTACAATAAGGTGTTCTAATGAAGTAACAAAGTTAACTTACAACTACAATATAGCAGTCAGCTATCTGAGTTGGCCGTCAGAGTACAAACACAGGCGGCTATCTCAACGAAAGGGAGAAGAAAACAGAACTAGTAATCCCAAACTAAAAGAGGATCGCGTGGACAAAGAACAGTGAATCCAGATCACTCCTAATGTAATTACCATCTATCAACTAACTACCTTGTTAGGCTTTTTGAAAGAATGATGCGATTTTTGAACAAAACACTATTGAGAGAGATCGTTAGCGACCAGTACATCTTACAGTACTTCACAGATCCCATTGCAGCAGAGTACGCTTCATGAATAGCAGTATTCATGGAGTTACAGCGTATTTCCAGTGTAGTGCAGTGCAACTGTAGTATATTGAGGTAGTCAGTAGTGTTGATCTGTTCAGTTTCATTAAGCCTGGCACTAGTCAGTGTGTTGTAAACAATCGTGTTTAGTCTCCACATCGCACCCTGATATTTTCCAAATAGTCCGCTGCTTAAAGGGTTCTAATATATTGTGGTCTCATCACTATCATCGGACACTCAATAGCTTTTAGCCGGTTCATCAATCTCTAGTGGTTAAATATCATTTCCAATCAGGTGGTATGAACTCTGATCTCCGTGTCACAGAACTTAACCAGAACTTCAAGGACGAGGTTGAGAGGCGAGAGCAATAGCTGTATTTTAAGAGAGCAATAGCTGTATTTTAACCTTATTTGCGCAAAGCTTGTAGCCGATGGGGTTCCTGGCCCCCTACTCCTTTTTTAGCCCTGAGTTTTGCCAAATTTGAAATATTGCAAAGTAATGTTATTTTTTAATTATCTTTTGGCTCATGACAATTTTTATAAATTTGAGCCAAATGACGATGGCGTAGAGAATGTCTTACATTTCGTTTCCCCGATCCTAATCATTGGCGCTGAAAACGAATATGGGACAGAAAATATAGAAGGAAAGGAAAGTGCGTTCGCATGTTCTATCAATTCACTTGATTGCCTGACTAGCGATTACTGAACTATCATTTGTAGAACAAATGATTACAATCAACTAACATAACAGAATTCCAATACTCAAGACTGAAAGTTGGAACTATGAGTATGACTCTACAAGAACTCTCCACTGAAGGACCTAACCAGCCCCTAAATCCACTACAACAACTCTCAACTCTACCTGAGCTAGCAAGAACCACACACGAAAGGGAACGATCAAGCTAGTGAAGTAGTGAAACTGAAGAATACGATCATTGTATTATAGAGTTGTGAGAAGTGGTCAATGGGCTATTGTCAACAACAATAGCAACAATACGAACACTATTAGCTAACTCACTGTCTTATTCTATAGGCATTGAAACTACGTACACATTAACACATATTACTTACTAAACTCCCCCACCCACGCGGGGGCAGGGTTGAGTCTCTCTCAATGCCTCCTTTGTCATCCCCCTGCCTCCTCTCAATCAGACCATTGTGCCCACGTGTTTAAACCTCTTATCTACCTTATCACTCTCATCTACACGCTCTACCATTGTTAAACCTGGCTGACACTCACACGCTCTTATCATGAGTCATGAAGAGGCGCCGTCTATCAGCCCGCTTTTAAATACGCACAAATAATCGCTATCAATTACCCATTGAGCTGGCCTACAGGATAGTTTTAACTAGCATTGCGTGGGCTACTTGATGCTGATATTCAATTAATCGACAATGTTCTATCAGTCAGCTATTCTATCAGCTTGCTGGCCACGTCAATTGCTCATACAAATGCCCAGATCTGAGTCAGTTAAACAATTCTCCGATAGTTTCAACTCCATCTGCTGATATTAATGCCAAGCAATGACAAAAATATCAACCACTTAAGATTATCCTTTTATTAACGTTAAAAACCTAGAGAATACCTTTTAACCGTTTTCAAAGTTTGGAAAGTTTAAGGGATCATCTTGGAGAAATCAATTCCGATATCTGAGCTAAGGGTGGTGTCTGAGAACAGAGAAGCGGATAGATTAGACACGATTTGAACAGTGACACAACTGTGTGATAAAAAGTGTGGTCAATGGTAACATGGTTAACATGGTAACAATGGTAACATATCAACAACATGATCAGAATAATATAGAAAATACATTAAAACCTTGACTTACAAAAATATAACTAGAACCATGAACTCGTGGCAACTGGGCACCGGCTATATTAAATAATCGAGAGAGAAATTCAAAATTGTAGAAGATGGGCCAACTTTAAGTTTTCATATAGTTAAACCAGAGGGTTTTTTGAAATCCTGGCCTCGATTCTAACCTAACCTTTTCCCATCGTTAACACTTCGTGATTAATATCATTGTTTATTGTTAAACCGTATATTTTTATCATAAAATAGTTTTCAAACCTGGCTGGGAAAATCAATAAAGAATATTTATTTTAACATATTAAACCAGTATGATGAAACATTCCATTCTTTATAAATATTGTACTTCTTTAACCAGAAAATTATCATTATCAGATTATAAAGAGATTTCCCAGTTTATACAAACTATACCAGACAATTATATGATACAACATCTTGGACGTTTTACTTAACATCTTAAAGCATGGAAATGATCAGAGGCTTATTTTTTATCAAAAACACTGTACTAAGAGATCAAACATTAAATATTAACAATTAACTTAGACACACATCATAGATTTAACTGGATGGAAATATCACCTATTATAAACTATTAAACATCAAATAAAATTATTTATATCTAGAAGGTGAACCCAGTAAACGCCGCTTATACATCACGTGATAAGCTCTTTAATCAGCGAACCACCATTACAGTAAGCCTGAATGAAACATTACTGTGCGATTAGGCTGACGCCTGACATGTTGTTACCACTGCAGGGAATCAATGCTGCATCATGTATAAAAGTATCTTGTAGTCCGAATGAGCACTGAGATTGCGTCTAGTGACTTGTAGGGTGGAGGGTGAACTAAAGCTAAGTAAGATGAGTAGCTCCCTTATTCAGCTCTCAGAATAGAAGCTAAACTAGCTGCTAGGTAGCCTCACAGTATCTCAAATTAGAGTAATGTCTACAGTTCACATTATTGATCCTTATTTAGCTCCGCAATGAAGAGTTCCAGTTTGTCCTGTATACTTCTAACTTTCCTCAACTCCTCCGCTAAGTCCACTCTCTTTCCGGTTATCAGACGCTTCTTGTTCTCTTCGTCACGTGACAGTTCATCTAGGTACTGCTTCACTTCCTGTTCTAGTCTCTGAGCTGCGGGGGAGAGAGGATTAATTAATGAGGGGATTATAATAGGGGAGGAGGGAGGGTAATAAGGTGTGAATACTGAACACTATGATGTTACAATACACAGAATAATGGCAAACCCTCAGTGTTCATGATCTGTAGTCTGAGCGCGTTACTAGTAGTCTCCAGCATGCGGGTAGCTCTCCAGAATAACACCACATCGTTACACTCCACTGCGTTACACGCAATACTGCGGTGGTAGAACGCTTTGCGGCACTGCTGCGCACTTGATAGTGCGCGGGTCAGGAACGTTACTGCGTACAGCTTCTCCCACACAGTGCAAATCTGAAGATTTAAGGTATCAGAACAGATCGCGGTAATGAGATCGAACGGCAACTATTTCATCTATTGAACTATCAGAAACAAATATTTTCAAAGAGTTGCAGACAACTATAAAAACAAAAACCTTTTCAATATTGTTTTTTTATCAACTGCAACAAATAAGTTTGAAAGAATTAACTAACATTAAAAGCAGTTCCCAACTACTCACAATTTCGTAAGGCACGTCAACACCCTGGGTCTGTAGGTTTCTCCTCACTGTGGTCAGCTCATCATTCTCAAGGTGCTTACTATGCATCTCATCTGCTACTAGCAGTTTCTGTAGCTCGTTCTTAGCAGACACACACTGAGATTCTAGAGGAGACCTGCTCCTCCAACCTGTCCATCTCTCTGTCCAGGACGGGCCTGTGGGAACGTTGGTTAGTTAGTTACCTTATATGGACATATCACATCTCACGTGGTTTAGTTAGTTACCTTATTTGGGCATATCATATCTCATACAGTGGGTTAGTGATAAACCTTTATTTGGGCACATGGTATAACATAACTCCATTGAAACATTTTTGGTGGTACAGAAACAGCTTCAAATGATTTAATCTTTTACTTTACACAGGCAACATAGAACTTTGTTAAGATTAAATAAATTGTGAAATTACAGGACATACCAATACATCTCTCCAGATTATCGTTAGCTAAGTCTATCCTCTCTTTTAAGATACGTTCCATAAAGGATATAGAGTTATCCCACTGCATTTTATTGGTCACTGCAGTGTCCTCTAATGCGTTCTTCTGTATCACACTCTAAAATATCACCTTATTAATTACTTTATTAGTTAATACATGCTTCTTGTTCTAAAGTTTTTGAAAAGCTTCCGAAAAGTTTACAAACTTAACTGACCAATGATTGACTTCGGACTAAGCTTTGATAATAAAACTAGCAATTTATGAGATTGAAGTGACTTTATTTTCTGTTCACCAAGTTAAATTTTCTTACCAATCGTTTGAGAGCGGTGGATTGCCAGGCATGCTGAGCCTTGACAGTCTCCAAAATATTGGCTTTCAGAGGTTGGAACAAATCTCCAATCTCTCTGTCAGCTTTCTTGGTAGTCATGATGGTCTCCAGCTGCTTGAATAAAGTCTGCCACCCGACGTTGATAGCCATTTGGGGGAGTTTGTCGTCTGTCCAGTCTTTAAGGGCAATATCCACCTGCGGTACATACTATTTAACATTAATTTGGGCTGGACATAACAGAGGTAATATTGGTTTATCTGATTGCTGTATCAAACGGATGGTCTATTCTACAATAACAGAATACTCATCGTATCAGAGACATCCGTATACATATAGGGTTAATACAATTACTTCTTGACCCACACTAACCGATACCATCTCAGTGTATGGACATTTAGGAGCCGTTTGTGGATTGAAAATATCATGTGTCGCACAGTCATAGTACTAAACAAGGATAATCCACCAAACACATAACAAACATCAGATATATTGTGACCAGCTATTCATACTTTAGTGTTAAAGTTCGAACTGGAAGTGCACTCCGCAGCTCCAAGATAAATATCATCCACCACTTTTGGGTGGATTTCTTCCCACAAGTTTTCCTGCAGTAACGTCTCCCATTCAAGAGGTGTTGACTTGTGTAGAGCCGCTATGTCGTCTAATATGTCATCTTTAGCTTTCTCAAACAGGTCGTTCTGAAGAATATAGACGTTAGGATCACGGATCACGGGATGAATGTAGAGAAATCGAATATGGGTCGAATTGGGTTTAAGCATCAACATAAGTAATTAAGGGGTCGCATAGATGAGTGTATTGGTTACAGGATTTCACAGTCAATTGTTATTAAAATAACTGGGTAGATTGGGGCAATAGTGTGATAATCGGGGTGTAACATAGGGGGTTTCCATCATCTTAGCTCGGGGGTAAATAGGATATAATATGTATGCACGCTCGGAGTTGATGAATCCAGATTTTTGGAACATTTTTGGAACATTTTTGGAACATGTGCCAAAATTGTGCCAAAAGTGTGCCATGCATTTATTTGCCCTAATGAGCTCAAAATAGTGCCAAAAATAATTGTAAATTATGGATATATTTGCAAGCTAGGTCTAGGGGCCATCGAAAGTAGCATAACATTACCCAGGTTCATGGAATGAACGAAAATGAACAAAAATGAATATTGTCCTAAAAATGCTCAGAACGGTTTAAAATTGGTCGGAAAGTGTTTATATTAGTCCTAGGACCACTCAAACCAAGTTTGGGAATCACTGCATGTCTAGAACCGATGTTACCAATGTTCCAAAATGTTCCAATTTTGTCACAATAATCCTCCTGAGAATCCAGATTTTTGGAACATGGGCACATCGAAGTATTGGCTGTATTTAAGTGCTGGGAAGCCTCAATTCGGTTTTCTAAGATGGATATAGGTAAAAACTAGGCCTAAGAGCCATCAAAACTCAAATAACATTACCCAGGTTCATGGAATGAACGAAAATGAACAAAAATGAATATTGTCCTAAAAATGCTCAGAACGGTTTAAAATTGGTCGGAAAGTGTTTATATTAGTCCTAGGACCACTCAAACCAAGTTTGGGAATCACTGCATGTCTAGAACCGATGTTACCAATGTTCCAAAATGTTCCAATTTTGGCACAATAATCCTCCTGAGAATCCAGATTTTTGGAACATGGGCACGTCGAAGTATTGGCTGTATTTAAGTGCTGGGAAGCCTCAATTCGGTTTTCTAAGATGGATATCGGTAAAAACTAGGCCTTAGAGCCATCAAAAGTCAAATAACATTACCCAGGTTCATGGAATGAACGAAAATGAACAAAAATGAATATTGTCCTAAAAATACTCAGAACGGTTTAAAATTGGTCGGAAAGTGTTTATATTAGTCCTAGGACCACTCAAACCAAGTTTGGGAATCACTGCATGTCTAGAACCGATGTTACCAATGTTCCAAAATGTTCCAATTTTGTCAAAATAATTCTCCTGAGAATCCAGATTTTTGGAACATGGGCACATCGAAGTATTGGCTGTATTTAAGTGCTGGGAAGCCTCAATTCGGTTTTCTAAGATGGATATAGCCGTAAGCTAGGCCTAGGAGCCATCAAAGTCGTATAAAATTACCCATGGAATGACCAGAAATGAACGAAAATGAACATTCTTCTCAAAGTGCTCAGAATGGTTTAAAATTGGTCGGAAAGTGTTTATATTAGTCCTAGGACCACTCAAACCAAGTTAGGGAATCACTGCATGTCTAGAACCGATGTTACCAATCTTCCAAAATGTTCCAATTTTGTCACAATAATCCTCCTGAGAATCCAGATTTTTGGAACATGGGCACATCGAAGTATTGGCTGTATTTAAGTGCTGGGAAGCCTCAATTCGTTTTTCTAAGATGAATGTAGGTAAAAACTAGGCCTAAGAGCCATCAAAAGTCAAATAATAATACCCAGGTTCATGGAATGAACGAAAATGAACAAAAATGGATATTGTCCTAAAAATTATCAGAACGGTTTAAAATTGGTCGGAAAGTGTTTATATTAGTCCTAGGACCACTCAAACCAAGTTTGGGAATCTCTGCATGTCTAGAACCGATGTTACCAATGTTCTAAAATGTTCCAATTCGAGTGGTCTTAGGACCAATACAAACACTTTCCGACCAATTTTAAACCGCTCTGAGCAATTGCAAAGGGTTTACGAAAGAGTCATAAGGCCAATCAACAGACTATTCATTTACTGTACTGTTAAGATGGTTCGGTATTCTGCACCCCTCGTATCGGTTCTGGGCATGCAGTGATTCCATAAACAGTCAGACAGTCACACAATGTACACCCTATATTTAGATCACATCAGTTTCATTTGTATCACATCACTTCGTGTAATAGATGTGTGGAAGCAAATAAAGATGTGATCTGAATAAGGTGATCCGAGCGTAGCAAGGTTATCCGATCTTATTTGGTGTGATCGGATGTAGAGGCGTAAGATCAGATCAGGTCATCAGCAATAGGATTAACTTAGCAAGCTTGTTAATGAATAAGAAGAGAATAAATAGATAATTAAGTTATACAAATCATTTTCCCTCTCTGTTAACCACAACAACTACAACGACAATGAATCCCTTCACTAAATTGATGAGCCTACCTCTTTATCTACCAGTTCAAAGAAGCACCAGCAGTCCACCTCACTCAACCAACCCCTTCACCAGCAACCTTCATCCCTCAACCAACTCATTCACCACCAGCCTACCTAACGCAACCAACCCCTTCACCAGCAACCTACCTCGCTCAACCAACCCTTTCACCTGCAACCTTCATCCCTCAACGAACAAATACAGCTAATGATGTCAAAAATGTATATCAATATATTGGGGGATTATTAAAACCAAAATAGTTGCCCAATAAAATAATTTCTGCCTTCTCTTGGAGGTACGTGTGCTAATTGTACATAATTCTGAATGCAACTTTAAGACTCTGTTGAACGTAAATATTGACTCTTTGCCACCATTTTCTTACCATTCAGAGCGCTTTAAGGAAAATTTTAATTTTTGTTCATTTTCGTTCATTCCATGAACCTGGGTAATGTTATTTGACTTTTGATGGCTCTTAGACCTAGTTTTTACCTATATCCATCTTAGAAAACCGAATTGAGGCTTCCCAGCACTTAAATACAGCCAATACTTCGATCTGCCCATGTTCCAAAAATCTGGATTCTCAGGAGGATTATTGTGCCAAAATTGGAACATTTTGGAAGATTGGTAACATCGGTTCTAGACATGCAGTGATTCCCAAACTTGGTTTGAGTGGTCCTAGGACTAATATAAACACTTTCCGACCAATTTTAAACCGTTCTGAGCATTTTTAGGACAATATTCATTTTTGTTCATTTTCGTTCATTCCATGAACCTGGGTAATGTTATTTCAGTTTTGATGGCTCTTAGGCCTAGTTTTTACCTATATCCATCTTAGAAAACCGAATTGAGGCTTCCCAGCACTTAAATACAGCCAATACTTCGATGTGCCCATGTTCCAAAAATCTGGATTCTCAGGAGAATTATTGTGCCAAAATTGGAACATTTTGGAACATTGGTAACATCGGTTCTAAACATGCAGTGATTCCCAAACTTGGTTTGGGTGGTCCTAGGACTAATATAAACACTTTCCGACCAATTTTAAACCGTCCTGAGCATTTGTAGGACAATATTCATTTTTGTTCATTTTCGTTCATTCCATGAACCTGGGTAATGTTATTTGAGTTTTGATGGCTCTTAGGCCTAGTTTTTACCTATATCCATCTTAGAAAACCGAATTGAGGCTTCCCAGCACTTAAATACAGCCAATACTTCGATGTCCCCATGTTCCCAAAATGGTTACAAAAATCAAAATTGGAACCACCTTCACATCGGTTCTAGACATGCAGTGATTCCCAAACTTGGTTTGAGTGGTCCTAGGACTAATATAAACACTTTCCGACCAATTTTAAACCGTTCTGAGCATTTTTAGGACAATATTCATTTTTGTTCATTTTCGTTCATTCCATGAACCTGGGTAATGTTATTTGAGTTTTGATGGCTCTTAGGCATAGTTTTTACCTATATCCATCTTAGAAAAACGAATTGAGGCTTCCCAGCACTTAAATACAGCCAATACTTCGATGTGCCCATGTTCCAAAAAATCTGGATTCTCAGGAGGATTATTGTGCCAAAATTGGAACATTTTGGAACATTGGTAACATCGGTTCTAAACATGCAGTGATTCCCAAACTTTGTTTGAGTGGTCCTAGGACTAATATAAACACTTTCCGACCAATTTTAAACCGTCCTGAGCATTTTTAGGACAATATTCATTTTTGTTCATTTTCGTTCATTCCATGAACCTGGGTAATGTTATTTGAGTTTTGATGGCTCTTAGGCCTAGTTTTTACCTATATCCATCTTAGAAAACCGAATTGAGGCTTCCCAGCACTTAAATACAGCCAATACTTCGATGTCCCCATGTTCCCAAAATGGTTACAAAAATCAAAATTGGAACCACCTTCACATCGGTTCTAGACATGCAGTGATTCCCAAACTTGGTTTGAGTGGTCCTAGGACCAATGTAAACACTTTCCGACCCATTTTAAACCATTCTGAGCACTTTGAGAAGAATGTTCATTTTCGTTCATTTCTGGTCATTCCATGGGTAATTTTATACGACTTTTGATGGCTCCTAGGCCTAGCTTACGGCTATATCATCTTAGAAAACCGAACTGAGCCTTCCCAGCACTCAAATACGGCCAATACTGCGATGTGCCCATGTTCCAAATTTATGGATTCATCTACTGCACGCTCGCCGTATATATTGTGCGCGCCTGCGCGCAGCTTAATTGTCATTTTTGCGCGGAGATACTATAAAATGAACTCCCGCGTCTTACCAATCCCATATCAAGTAGACCGTTTTCATGCACCAACGGCGTTTTGGGCGTTGTCCAGCAATCAAGACTTACAGATTTAACAAATTATTCTAATAACAGTATAACAAAGGAACGAACCCTGTCCATTTCTCGGATCCCAGAGAACGTGTTCCTCCATTCTGCCTCAAGATTATACCTCGCCGCCTTGAAATTATCAGCCTGCTGCTCCACCGAATCGCTCACCATTTTCCAGAAACAATCCGATACGGCTAGCGACAAATTGTTAGTCGACATCTGAGATGCTCTCATTGCACCTGACCTGATGGAAAGTTATTTAGTAGACTTGCACATCCGATACGTGACGTCATTATAAATAAAGTGGGACAGTCAGAAACAATTACAATGGTTAACATAGGGGGAAAACCGTATGCCCGAACTGGGTAAACTGTACAGTTTCAATATAGAATTGATAAAACGACACAAAACTATCGTTATGCTATATTCTTGTTTTGATAATAAGTTGATACGTTAGTCGTTAAGATGACAAAAGTGAATAAGATCACTTTAAAAATAACCTGAATAGTTTAGATCTACTAAAGAAGTCCTCCTCGTACGCTCGAATAGTTTCAATACTGTCATCTTGAGGTCCCCTGCCCGTTACTACCGCATAGTAACCCAGCGCTTTCATCGGAAACAGCTTCCCCTCCAGAATCTTCTTAACCTGTTGAAATTGTACATAATGCATATAGTTCAAGTAATATTCATACTCGTTAAGAGAGGCATACTCTATAAATTATAACATATTCCCAAGGTCTCCGATATGAACAAATATGTAAATCTCTCATAAGACAGTAGACACAGTTTAAGACTGCGTCTCCTCTCATTTTATTTATCAAATCTCGTATCAAATCACGAGAAATTACTAATGTAAACTGATATAATATGAGTTTCTATATTGTGTTTAGATATTTTACTAGATTGAAGGGTGCCGCGTTTCCGCAGCACCCGCTACCACAAATTATATGCCCAGAGTAGGACGATTTGTCCTAACTGCAGATTTCATCTAACCGCTGTGCAATGGAAAGACTCCGCCCGGAGGAAAACCCAAGATGATCGGTTTTAACCTCGACATCAGGTAAGTATGCTTCAAATAGAGCAAAGTATAAATACTATGTTCGTCTTAAAATATTTCCTTGTGTTTAGAATTAGATATTAAGATTGCCATATTTTGTAGATGTTATATCGTCCAAAACATTCTGATAAGAAATAAGTACTGGATCGAACCAATACAAGTACTGTTGTTATATACCAATTACCAAACGTGATCCATAGTAGGGTTTATCTTAAGGGGGGTTCAGTGTTCACCCTGATCTTTTTGTGAAACTTGATTTTGAGATAGCAGTTGACCAACAAACTAGGACCGGTGACAGACATTTTTAGGGGGTCCCGGACCCCAACCGCCAAACGGTGCCCGCGGGGCAGCCACGCCCATACTTGGCGGCCAAATTCTAAAATTTGCAGTGCATTTTTCAGAATTTGACGGCCAAATTTTTTTAAAGGCCTAACTCAAAATTCCACTACAAAACTTAAGGTCGAAATGCGATTCTACGTTGATTCTGAAAATTTCATGAAAAAATATTGAAAGCCTATTGAGTTCTATTGTTTTGAGCGAAATCAGTTTCGTGAACTGAGATATGGGCGATTTTGTTCATTTTTTACGATTATTTGAATACAGAATCCACAGTTAGGTAGATATTGAGCTGATAATCGTAAAGAAAGTGTACTTTTTGCTTACCTTTTATATAAAGTTGGTTTCATTAAAAAATATTGATATTTGACCAATACAATTTATGGGCCAAAATCGATCAAATTTGGTGGCATATAGTTTTTAGCTCATAACTCAGTCATTGTTTGTCCAATCTTGGGTTTTGGGCATGTTCAGGGTATTTTTGTTTAAATCAGGGTGAACCCCCTTAAATAGAAACCGGCCAATACTGAGTATTGTGCTAGAGCATTGTGCATGAGCATTGAGCATTGTGCTCAAGCTCAGAGTACACTAGTAGTCACTGTAATTACATTATCTTGCCTAGTTGCCTGGTCAATATCCTCAACCATTGAGTAACGAGACGAGAATATGCACTAAGACTAACGAGAATCTGCAGTAAGACTAACGCGAACAATGTTAGCGTTCAACGCAACGATGAACAATGTTGCGAATTCCTTATCTTACTATAAGATTAAATTCAGCAGGCAATCTCTCACTTGTTGGAACAAAGGAATCTGCTTAACATCGGCTTACTATTCTAATTTCTATATAGTTATAACGCCAGGTTTACTGAGTTAATCGTCGATTACTGTTAAGAACAATAGAACCTCTGAGCTACTTTTCCTCCACGTAACTACCACGTGATACACGGTTCGAAAGAGGGAGCATGCTCTCTTTGTAGCCACAATACAAGCCAACGGTTTACCTTGCGTTCGTTTTAAAGTTTTTGGAAAAGAAGTCAGGAAGGAGAGGATTTGTATCGACAAAGACAGAGAAATGATCCTCTTCTTGCTCATCTCTCTTTTTGGAGAAGCACACACGACCGATCGTGATGGTGAGCTCTCCATGTACTGTCTATCTTCATTTTAACAGTTGAAGTCCACAATTCATAGCTTGTACTTGGGTCTTGGGTCTTGGGTGATTAGAGACGATAGCTGGCAAGCGTCATGTCTTAAAACCTATAATCCATTGCAATAATCCATAAAATATTGGTTTTTCAGGTCAGTATATATATATATATTAAGTTGCTCTTTTCAGATTACAAGGATTGTTATCTGGACAATATTGATCTGTATGGAGGTGATATTGAGCAAATCATAATGGAAAACAAAAATTGGAAAGATAGCACGGAGTGCTATCAGACATGCAAAGACAATCAACAATGTGTTGTAAGTTTCACGTTCATTTTCACTTTCACTTTCTTTTGAAGTTTCATTGTTAAAGCTGTGTATTCAATATTCATACATGTATTTTAAAGCACAGGTCACAAATGAAAACTCTATATCAATAACTCACTCGCAATTTAGGTATTTACGTTAGACAAGGTGAATGGTGTATGCTACTTAAAGCAATCTGGATATGAAACTTTGGAAGATTCTAATTTGATTTCAGGGAAAATGGACTGTTTTAATAATAGTGAGTTAACATCAATTAAATGCTAGAAGTACTTTCTAATAGTTATGTCGTGAATCTGATGTTTCCATTTTAAAGTGGACCGGCATACCAAATTAGATTTAATGCAATTCGAAATTCTACCTTTAATTAATGAATTAATGCATTTGAAATAGCTTGAGCCTTGAATATAATCTGTATTTTCAGTCCAGTGTACAGAACTACCAGAAGATATTCCCAACCTGATAACGAGCACGTCACTACCAGTGAAGTACCGAGTTAGCGTGGAAGTGAGCTGTGAACAAGGTTACAGTCTGACGGGAAGCAGTGTTATCACCTGTATCACCTACAGGAAGTGGGGCTATCCCATTGTAGACCCTCCTGTTTGTACACTAGGTGAGTTTGTGGCTGTTTTGTCCTGGTGTTACTTTACTTTATCAGACGTTATTTGACCGGACATTGCGTGAACGGACATTAAAATCAACGCTCGAAGGCAATCAACATCCGACATTTTTCCATCTTTTTTGGCGTTTCTCAATTGATACCGGAACTAAACATTCTTGTTATTTCTCGTTCTCCCATATATTATCATTATTACAAGTTTTTGATGTGCTATATACAGTGCCAGGTTTCACTCCAGTTCCTAATCATGGGTACCAGATCAAGATGCTGGATGGGCCTGCCTCTGGTTACTCCCTGACTGCAAATGATGAAAGAAATAGTGACTCCCGCTGGGTACATACCGATCTCAATGATGAGAGTAATCGCTGGGAGATTATCTCTAAACAACACAACAGTCAACACTGCTTCAACATCAAGTCTAAATCTGGTATTTCAAAATAACAAATTCCGTTTTTTAATGATATCAAATAATCGACGCGACGGTAGCTAATTCTTCAAATCAAGTAAAGGAAAAACAGTTTTGGTACAATGTTATATCAACAGTTCCCTTTCAAGGTGCTGGTAGTGGCAAGATGCTAGTTGTGCACGGCGACAAACAACCTAATGGAGAAGCAAGGGCTCTGGTCCACAAAACTCCCCACAAAGCTGATGACGAGTGTTGGAGTATAGAGACTGTGAGTGTGGCAGGAGGGGTCGGGTACAGGTTTAAGAAGTCTCAGGGTCGCTCGAAAGACACGTACTTGGTCTCCAGGATTAAGAGGGGAGAGGGGTCTTACTGGGTGGACGTGACGTCAGATATGTCTGCTCCGATCTTGTGGCAGATTGATGGTTCGGCTTCTAATTCAAATGGTAAGTTTCGGTTGAAAACTAATTTCTGTTTAAATAAAGTCTGGTAAGGTATGCTAGGTGGGTTTGTGGCTGTTTTGTGATATCATCATACTAAAGTCTAAAACATGTAACTAAGAAGAAGACACCATTACCAGGTAATGGTAATTACCCAGTAATCGACCGGGACATGATTCCAGGCCTGACCGGGACCGGGACCGGGACCGGGACCAAGAATCCTGAATTAACCGGGACCGGGACCGGGATCATAAATCAGCATTTGACCGGGACCGGGACCGGGATGAAAAATGTGACTTGACCGGGACCGGGATAGCTCAAAATTGCCAATCCCGGTACCGGGATTCCCGGTACCGGGAATCCCAGTCGATTACTGGTTAATTCATGATCATAATTTATTACTCAAACTTGTTTAGCAATTTTAAACATTGTTTTATTTGGCTCAGAAGATGTTTAAAGATGAGATTCACAATGAATGAAAGTAAAAACTTAAATTCACAGTGAATGAAATTATGTAACAGATCCCGGTAAAAATCCCGGCAAATTTGAGGGATTGACCGGGACCGGGACCGGGACCAAGAATCCTGAATTAACCGGGACCGGGATCATAAATCAGCATCTGACCGGGACCGGGACCGGGACCGGGATAGCTCAAAATTGCCAATCCCGGTACCGTGAATCCCGGTCGATTCATGTAATTACCAGGGTAATAATTACCCAGATTTATATTTCTAGATAAGTGTACGGCATTACCAGATTTATATTTCTAGATAACTGTACGGCATTACCAGACGGTATCTCTAATCATTACCCAGGTTTATATTTCTAGATAAGTGTACGGCATTACCAGATGGTATCTCTAACCAGATGACCAACGATACCCCACTACCTGTGAACCCCGGAACTAGGATGGAAGTGACGTGGTCTACAACTGAGTGTGTACCTGGGTACCACCTGATAGGGACCAGTGTTATCACCTGTAACAGGAATAGGAACTGGGACTATGAGGCGGAATGTAGTTTAGGTGAGTTTGTTGGGTGATGTGGGGGTGATGCGGGGGTGATGTGGGGGTGATGTGGGGGTGATGCAGGGGTGATGCGGGGGTGATGTGGGGTTGATGTGGGGTGATGTGGGGGTGATGTGGGGGTGATGTGGGGGTGATGCAGGGGTGATGTGGGGTTGATGCTGGGGTGATGTGGGGGTGATGTGGGGGTGATGTGGGGTGATGTAGGGGTGATGCGGGGGTGATGTGGGGGTGATGTGGGGGTGATGTGGGGGTGATGTGGGGGTGATGTGGGGGTGATGTGGGGTGATGCAGGGGTGATGTGGGGTTGATGCGGGGGTGATGTGGGGGTGATGTGGGGGTGATGTGGGGGTGATGTGGGGGTGATGTGGGGGTGATGTGGGGGTGATGTGGGGGTGATGTGGGGGTGATGTGGGGGTGATGTGGGGTGATGTGGGGGTGATGTGGGGGTGATGTGGGGGTGATGTGGGGGTGATGTGGGGGTGATGTGGGGGTGATGTGGGGGTGATGTGGGGGTGATGTGGGGGTGATGTGGGGGTGATGTGGGGGTGATGTGGGGGTGATGTGGGGGTGATGTGGGGGTGATGTGGGGGTGATGTGGGGGTGATGTTTCTGTTAAAGTTTTAACATACTGTACCACATCGTGTGAACAGTTTACCGTATCTTATATCTTTACAGCTAACAGTCAAATCTTTGGTCAATTTGACTGTTCAGTAT